TTTATTCCTAACCAGATAGCTACAGATAAAAGGTTAAATCTCTCTACAGGTAGCTACTCTATGTTCGCCTTGCCTTATGTAAAGTACTGATTTACTGAGCAGGAGACCTAATTGATTAGCCTCCTATCTGCTCCTTTTCCTTTGCAACATGCAGATTACCATACCCTTCCTCTTTGCACTGCAGCCCACTATAAATATTAAAGCCCTCAAATTCAATCTTTGGAAATGGACACAGACCACAGACTGTTTCTGTGAACCTGTGTTTTTTTGTTTTTTGTGTTTTGTTTTCTTCTGGGCATGTCCTTATCACCTTGGTACAATAAATTCCAAAATTGATTGAGACCTGTCTCAGATCATAACCATCAATTTAAAAATCTGTTTTGAGGAACACTTCCTATGTTCCAGTTTGTGAAGCAAGGAAAATCACAGCCTTACCTTGGGGTAATAAAAATATACCCCTTGGAGCTACCCTAGTCCTAAGTTGTCCAGTGGTTCCCATGGCCTGAGAAAGGGATGTTACTGAATGAAGAGTCAGGAGCAGTGGTATCTCATTCAACACATATGCAATGTGCAGGTTTGAGGGATATGAACCTGCTGGTGGAGATACAGACATACTTCACTCTGGACCATTCCATTTCTTTGTCTTTCTTTTATACCTGTCTCAGATACTGAGACATCTACATTTTGTCTCATGACCACTTTAGAAAATAATCAAGGTAAAAGAATTATACAAAATTGCCATTTCATAGATCAGCAACAACTATTGTAGTTTTTTGTAGTTCTACAAAAAAAAAATAATAAATGGCAGAAACTAACATGTATTCAAGTTTTACTACCCGCCAGACATTACCTAATTTGATATTTCAGATAAGAAATATAGGCACTATTATTTCCCATTTACAAATGAGAAAATGGAAGCCTTATAAAAGAGAGTAATAAATTTGCCAAAATTCCTAATAGTGAGTGGTACAGCCAGTATTTTAACCAAGGGCCTTTGCCCTTAACCATTCTGAGCTCACAAAATATATCAGTGTCTCCCCTACCCTCCAGACCTAACAGTAAGTTGCAAAAAGTGGTCCGCAGTTGTCATTCCTAAGAATAGTAAGTAGAGTTGATTTTTCTTTGGATCCCCACCCCTCTTCTTGCCTTCTCACTTTCCGTTGAGTTCTGAGAGGGATTTTTTTTTTTTTTTTAAGGATTATAAAAGTCTTTGCAGAAGAGTCTTAAATTCATAGCCAGACCTCATTTCTAAAAGTTGCCAGGGATTGCAAGGGCAAGTGAGAGGTCTGGGGAGTGATGGCAATTATCCAGGGAGTTTTTGGACACTGTTTACCTGTGCATCCAGGACCTAGGTGCTGGCAACTGGAAAAGAGGGACAGCCACAGCTTCTTACCCATTGTTGCCTCCTACCCATTGTTGCCTCCCTCATTTTCCTTCCCCTGTTACCATTTTTGCTCCCACTGAAGAGTCAGCTGAAAGTCTTTTTGTTCAAACATGAGAAATGAATTGGGCTTACCTAAGGAAGAAGCAGAAGATTTCTGTGAAATCTACTAGGTTGTCTCTGTGAATCCAAGGGAGAGTTATGTAGCAAACCTCACAAAGAACTTTAATCAGAGAAGCCCTGAAACCTCAGAAAATGGTCTGCTCCTCTAGAGCACCTGCACTGGATCAGTGGGCTCCAAGTACTCCTCGACTCTCCAAACCAAGTTCAAATTTTCAGGAGAGAAAATCTAAGAGGCCCAACCTTAGACCAGGAATTCATCTCAGCATCAAGCCACCTTGTCTGAGAAGCAGGATCATTTGACAAGAGAAATGCACCTGAACTGGGCCCTGAGAGGGGAGAACCACTGTGAACCCCATAGAATCTCAACAGTGCTTATTACAAAAGGGGATCTTCTTGCTGTATAACAAACCACTTGCATTTCTATCTACTCTTTCAAAAGAACATGCCATCCACCACATTTCAGTTGTCCGTTCTGTAGGCCTCACTAGAGAAGGTACTCACTCAGTGTTTATTGTTTAAATGAGCTTTACTTAACCTAGACCTTTGTTTGGCAAACTGAAAACTAAGTAGCATTTGTGGACAGGGAAGTTCCCAAACAGTAGGAAAGAGATGAAGGGAAGGAAATAAAGACAAGGTGAGGAGAACACAGGCAAGAAAAGGAAGATAAGGAAGATGCCAACAAAGAGGTGCAAGGGAGGAAAGTATAGGTTGCCACAGCTGTTTAGCAAAGAAAAGCCTTTGGCTATGATGCCATGTTTTCCTAAGAAACAGAAACGGACCAGTGTCTCTATTTTCAACATATGGTGCCAGAATATTTCATAGAATTTTCAAGTATGTTAAAATGCTTCTATAAAAATAAGAACGTTAATATATGTTTTAAACAAACTGCCAAAATTAGCGTCATATTTCAATTTCTGTTTCCGAACAGAGCCTACAGTGGCCCCATCTCAAGTCTCTGCAAATAGCCTATCTTCCTCAGAAATTGAGGTTTCATGGAATACCATTCCTTGGAAGTTGAGCAATGGACATTTACTGGGCTATGAGGTAATTTCTTTTCTGATTAATTCGTGTATGTGTGTCACATGCTACTCTGTCTCTTACATTTGAAATCCTTAACAATGACCTCTTATTTGAAGTCTATCTTTGGCTGAAATTTTTTTATCAACACATTGTTTCATCTGATGTTCAATGTATACTGAATTTAATCAGTTGAATGAAAATAACATTAGTTGGAGTAGAAAAGGAACAAAAAAAAGAATATGAAAGGAAATCATGTATCACGTGGGCCAAATATTTTAGATGGGTTTACTAAAAAATAAGGGTGAGATTGAACTGCAGTATTAAGTTCATAGAGTACTTTCATCAACAGGAAGTCACTGTCCTCCAGCTCTTTGTCTTACTTTTTTGGTGGCTTTGTTACATTGTAGAGTTCTTTTATAGGCTCTAGAGAAGCCACCTGTCTGTAAGATACTTTGAGCCTTCAAAGACCTCTCTGTTTAGTGAAATAGGATGAAACATCTGAAAGAGAGGATAATGTAAGACCAAATATAATGAAGGTCTGACTAGGTCACTCAAACAGGAAATGTTTGCGTTGTCAAGAAGGATGGGACATACTGAAAGTCTTTATAAGGGTGGTAAGGCTTAACAGGACTTTCAAGGGAAAGTAAGTAAAGGTGGAAGGAGTGGAAAACATTCTGGATTAGGCATGGCATGATGGAAGAGCAGAGTAGAGGCCTACCTGCCAAAGGTTCCTGTTTGAAAAGGTGACTTCATATAGGCACGGGAGGACCAGGTCACAGGTGGCTTTAAAGGCTAAGAAGAACCATTTGAACTGGGTCCCCTATTTAGTAGTGAGCAGTTAGAGGAAACTGGGAGCAGTAGAGCCAAGAACTGGCAAGATAAATAAAATGCAAAGAAGATTTTGCCAACAATGGCATTGTGGGATTCATAGTTGTGATTTCATCCCACCCACAGCT